CACACCCACACCCACCCTAATATTTGGCTTTCCTTGCCTTTTGATAATATTGAATATGGTACTATTGGTTTTTGCCGCTACATTCATATTGATGCAAGTTATGTTATGGAAAACATATAATATTAAAAAAATGAAAACAAATTCATTTTTATTCAATATCGTAACTACATTGACAGAATCAAGTTAAAAATTTCTTTCAAGACATTCTTTTTGTTTTTTTTTGCAAATAAATCCCTTTTTTTATTTTGTTTTAAGCTGCACCGTCTTTCTTGATTAAAACAGTAAAAATTTTTGAGCAGATTGGCTATATATAGCAAAAGTTATTTCTCATTTGATAGTAACGAAGATTTAAAGGTAGGGGTGTTACTTTATCTTTACTTTATAAATAAAATATCAATGCAATCTTTATGTTTACAAAATAAATATAACAAAATTCTTTATATTTATAAAATAAAGATGAATAAGTTCTGTGTTTTGGAAAAATAACGTAAAATAAACAAATAAATGTTTATTGCTTAAAAAATAAAGATAAATGAATTTTTTATTTTCAAAAATAAAGATAAAATAAATAATAAAGAAATATTATTTTATATGACAAGTAAATTGACAAATACCTAGTATAACAGCAGGATATGTTGATTAATATTCTTTCTTATCTGCAGCATCACTTCGACATATAATATTATTAAAAAATTAAGCTGATACTTGAAAAAAAATATGGAAAAAACTTTTCTGTATATTTCATTACTATGTTTGGTATCATAACTTCTTTTGAGCTACTTGGTAAAAATTAAAGATTAGGTTCTCATGGAAAAAACTTCTTTCTTAGTTATTTTATCTTTATTTTATAAAGATAAATAAAAAAAACTCTTTATCTTTATTTTATACATAAAAAGATTTTATTTCTCTTTATTTTTTAAATAATAAATACTTATTGATTTATTTAAATTTATTTTTCAAAAATAAAGAATTTATTCAGCTTTATTTTATAAACAAAAAGATTTGACTTATATTTATTCCTTATTATATAAATAAAAATAAAGTAACACGCCTATTTGAATGACGAAAATGTATACTTCAATGAAATGCGTTTTTTTCTAAACTATACGAATTACAAAAACACCGTTGCAACGCGTTTCCGAAAAACGCGTTATTGAAAATATGTTTCAGCTCATCCAAAATAACGTGTTTAAAGGATTTTTTTTTCAAAGCGTTTTTTAAGAAAAACAGCTTTTTTGACGAATGAGTTTAAACGCTTTTTATAAAACCACGTTTTTAATAGAAAAAACGTGCTGAAAAATAAATCAACGCGTTTACATGTAAAAGTAGCGTTCTTTTTTAAAAATGTTGCGTTCAAACGCATATTTTTTTCGAATTTTTTTCATGGGAAGATGCATCACTCTTATACTATTAGACGTCTACAGAGTTACTTAATGTNAGAAAATTTCATCGCGATTGGACTCTCCTTTCGAAAGTTATCGTGTTAACGGCCGGACATACTGACCGATTTTAGTAGTGTACTCACTTTTTGAGTACACAAAAAGAATTGATTAAGAGCGAGGCAGCAAGTAGACAGAAACGAACAGAACGAAAAAAAAATTTGCGACGAACAGAACGAAAAAAATTCTGCGACGAAGTGAATGCGACGAAGTGTCGTGCGACGAAGTGTACTAGTGCCGTATATTCTAAAAGAAAGACAAATTTATTTTGTTTTTTTTTAATTTTGTATTCTAATAAAAATAAATTTACTTTATAATCAATATCACTGATACCCATTAAATAAACAACATCGTAACCGAAATAATTTTTCATGACACGACGAAGAATATCTAATGACATATAGTGTCTTAAAATAAATAAATAAATAAATAAATAAAAATAAATCTTGACATATATTACCGGACATGATTCATATCAATTGTTTCATAAAAAGTTGGACCACCAATATACCATCGAACTTCATTACCATGTGTTGGTATAAAAACTTCCTAAACAAGAAAAAAAAATCTAGTAAAGGTTTTATCATAAGAACTACATTTGTATTGGTGAAATTGTTGAAAAGGCGAAACTGCGTTGAAGACATGTTTAATTGATGATAAAATAAATAAGATCTAATGTTTGATTTGAATCTATAAAATAGAAAAGGAGGTAGAGAAAAGACCATGGACGGATATATGTCCGTCTAGCTATTTCATCGTACATTAACTAGCTGATATATATATGTGTATACATCCCCGTAGTTTAGTTTCCTTCAACAGAGAGAAAGTTTACGTTGTTTATTTTATTTCTCTCTTTATTTTCTTTAACATATCGTCGGCTAAACAATAAAATACACTCTATATATGTAAAATTAAAATAGCGAAATTACGAAATAGAAACTTTTAACATTAAGAAACATCGAAATGGCGATGATAGATAATTCGATGAAAAATAAATACTGTGGCACCTTAATGGAAAATATCCTTGAAAAAATCAATCAAGATATTCTTTTAATTATTGACAAACTAATCTAATTTTTTTGAAAACTGTGCTTTTTCAAAAACTCGAATAAAAATTGTTTTTAGACGGATGATCGATTAGAAACAATCTTTTTTTCAAAATGGCTAAAATTAAACTTAATGAAAGATTAAATTGCATTATATCTAGCATAATATTCAAATCGAATATTTTCAGGCATTCATTATCACCAGAAATTTTATTTTTATTAAACATATCAATAAATAACAATTCAAAGGTATACAATTTGAACTTGAAATGAATTTTTTTCTAAATACGCCATAAATAACAATAAGACAACATTTTCTTGATTTTTCTTCCAAATTTCTCCTAAAATTTGTTCAGTTCCTCCATATCTATGAACATTCCAATCTAAATAAAGAATTTGAACAGTGTATATACAATACCGATTGATACAGGATTATGTTGCTGATGTGCTCTTTTTTACCAATGAATATTTTATTGTACTCTTATTCGTAACTACGTGAATTGCACCACATCTTCGAGATGTGTGCATTTTATCAAACAAAAACATCAGCACCTTACTTTTTTCCAATTTCTTCATTTTTCTTCTAATGCTGTATAAGTTTTTTTTCATTATATGATAAGAAAAGTTGTATTTACATATTCGATCTATTCTATAATAACAATCATTTAAATTTGAAATTTAAATTTCCGACGATAAATACTATTAATATCGATATTATTATTTTATCTTTGTCACGGTTCATTCGTCATAGAAAATAAGAACAATGAAGGACGTGAGATTACTCCGTACAATTATTAACATTTTTTCAATGTCAATATAGATTAAAAAAATAATAATTGAGTCAAGCGAGTTTTCTACTCATTTTTACGCTCATTAGATTCAATAATAAATCATCATTTAATTGATATTTACATTTAAGAATTCCTACTTATAAAAAAAAAACTTAATAATGTATTATTGTTTCACATAAAATAAAGCATATAATGTTTGATTTACTATAGTGAAGAATACGAATAGAATCGCCTCCAGCAAGTAATCTAACAAGTATTTTCCATGGAAATGGACATACATCAAGATTTATAGGTAATTGAACAAGTCTTTTAGTTCGATGATGTTCTATTTGTATTTGTTGATGATCACAATCGATAATTAATGTTATTTTATCACCTGTTTCAATTGTTTCATTACCATTATCTCCTTTACGTTCACCATTAATAATAACATGATCAAGATTCCACCAACCATGAATAGAATAATCGAATATTGGTGAAATAATCTTATGTGATGAAGAAATAATACCAATAAAAATATTTTTAATACATTTTCTTTCAATTAAAAAATCAGTTGCATGTTTTCCTGATGAATAATGATTAATATCACTAATTTGTGATAAACCAGCACGATAACTTGAATGTGTAACTACACAATCGTCTTCAGATAATTGACATGGTCCAAAAATTAAAAAAAAATGCTCTTCAAGAGAATCAGTTGACTTTTGAGAGTTTGACTTGGATTTTTCTAGTATAAGAGAAGAATTAAGTAATGATTGATTATCAATTACTTTTATCGTATGAATAAATGATGATGGTTTTTCGTCTTCTACAATAGAAATACTTGATGGTTTTTCAAGTAGAATTCGAAGTTCTTCTAATTGTTTAATCCATCGTCGAAGATCAAGTTCTGTATAATTATTCAGTTTTTCACTAGATTGTATTTGTTCAGTTAGTTGATCTAATGAAATTTTCACATGATTTTTAGTTTTATCCATCTACTCTTGAAGATTATTTCGAGCTTTTTCAGCAATTTCTTGAATTTTCTCATTGATTTTCGTTCCCATGCATAAATATTTGATAGAAGTGATTGATTAAAATTATTTCGATTTAAATCTTGTTATAAAAGTTCTTATTTTTGAATAAGATCTTCCATTTGTTGAGAAAGATGTGATCGATGTTTTATAAAATATTTATCACAAAATATTCGTTGACATCCATAACACGTTGAAATACATTCATTTTCTGCACATTTAGGACAGTTTTGTTTCTTAGTATCTGAAGTCTTTTTTTTGTACCCAATAACATTAACTCTATTTAATAAATACTCATATGAAGTTATTTTATCACATTATGCAATTATTATTATACACATCATTTGGTTACACACTGTAAAAAAAGGCGTAGATTAATATACTCTCAAAGGGTTTATTATACGTTGCACTTTCATAAACCCTTTAAGAGTATATTAATCTACGCTTTTTTTTACAGTGCAGGTGAATGATCGAATAGTTATATTCTATTTTAATTACGTATTAATGACGACAATATATGACAAAAAATCTTAATATAAAATTATTTTTATTGATATTAAAATTCTAATTCAAAGAAAAAAAAACACATATAGCTGATTTAAATAAAAATATCTATTAAAATTTCGTAATAAGTGATGGACTTGATTGAATTGCTGATACCGACGGAACTGTTGGTGATTTATGTCCTGCTAATTGATTTTTGTTTTTCTAATTGTTCTAAAACAGCTAATTGTTTCCAACTATCAATTAATGTCTGTGCACTATATTCAATTTCTTCTTGATCTTTCATTGAATCAAATAAACTTCGATGTCTACCCATACACATTATTAATATAAGAATTAATATTTTACTTGGTACTGTAAGTACAGTTGCAAAACTTGATGTAATTGTTGAATGTCCCATTGATAAACCATAACCACCAAATGTACTAATTACTTCAAATATAATACGAAATACGGTTATTTGTGTATCAACAGATGACATATGATAGGCATCAAATGAACATATCAGAAAAATATATATAAATAACCACGTACGAGTTGATGTTAATAAAATGAATAAAATAATAACAGCATGACGACAAAAAATAATTAATAAAAGTTTCATACGGAGTCATGATATACGTGCAAAATTAACACTTCGATCATCTTTTATATCATCATTTATATCTAATGATAATACACTTAAACGATGTTGAAAACGTTTTTCATTTAATTCATCAATAGCTTGTTCAGCTCGTGTTGTTCGTGCAATAGATGAAAAATATCTGTTAGCTTGTGCTTTTGTTAATGAACCTTGTCGTGATAAATAACGTTTTATACGATTAAATGGTAAAAATATTTGAATACTTCCACATCGATTATTACTTGAAATTTTATTATCTAATTTTTTTTTATATTTGAATTAATATTCATTCCATTTCAAATGGTGTTTCATTTATAGAACATAACTAAAACAAACTTCGATATTTCTTTTTCTCGAAAACATTATAATAATAAATAAATATACCATTTGAGGTTTAACAGCCATTAATAAAACAAATATAAGCAATGTTCCCGATGAAAGTAAACTTATATCAGTTGTTGCATAACCTATTAATAAATATATTAAATTTGTTTTTTTATTATTATAAATCTAATTACCTGCAAAACGAGTATTAGCTGTTTCAAGCATAAATATCATAAATCGTGTTCCACCACCATATTGAGCTAAACTTGCATTATGAAAATCAAGTATTAATGCAACAACAGCACCCACTAAAAGTTCAATAAACATATATTTCTTCGATATAATGATTTTACTTAAATATTTGTAATAAAACTGTTATAGTAACATAAAGTTGTGTTTGAATATATATTTCCTCATTTTCTACTTTGATAATAAACTACCTGTAAAAATTTATAAAAAAGATGTTTCTCATTTTTTCCCATCATTTATACATTGGGTCATTCACTAGAATAATGTAATTTATCAATAGTACATGAACTGATCATAAAAAGTTTCAAGACTTTTAAGATCAATGAACTTAGAATGATTTGACGAAGTTTCTACAAAAAGTGAAACTTTTTTTTCTGATTCTGAACATGTGATGCACAATATTTGATCGCAAACATATCTTAAGATATGAATCAAAATGTATTATGGTGGTGAATCTTATTATACATAAAATATTTCATACATTCTACTTATTCTAAGTCAATGACACCCTTATTTCTCTACTAAGATGTTTTCAGTAAGTCATTTTCATCCATAGATATGCAGACTTTTCATTACCCTCGTATTTTCACGACAGTACGTCTACTAGATTTCGAGAATTAAGTATTAATATACATATAGATCAATGAATAATTCTAAAGATCATTTAGCTCCTATTTCTATTTGAAATCGAGTATTTTTTATTTATCTAAACTGAGATTAAAAGCAAATCGCTCATTTTGCGACTATAGGGGAGGAGGAGGAAGGGGAAGGAAATTAATTTTGTAAATATCTTTTGAATATCTTACGATCCGAGATCAGTTCAAATATAATTACTATGAGAAAATCTAATTTGATTTTCTACAGAAGTTCCAGCGTACTAAAACAAAATTGTCATTATTCACGTATCATTGAAGAATAATATTCTACATCTGTATAAATAGAAACTGAAAGAAATAAAGGACGTCTTCGACTCTATTCTATATTTATGGTCTGTGATGAGGTGTGAATAATGACGAGTTTTATGAAACATGATCTAAAATGGAGTGTTAAAGTATAGAAGTAGAAATTTGAACCCCAACAGACGTAACATATATGTTAAAGATGGCTCATCAAAGACAATGACAAACACAACCATGGAAACGTCATGAATTGTAACAGGCGCTGTAGGGACACTTCCCCTCTAAGCATCACATATTGTAACAGACGTCATTAATATACGATCAAAGACCATGTATCAATATCAACTGACTATAGTATATGAAATACTTTCTTATTATATTACTGCAGGATTAAATGAAAAGATGACGAAAAAATGTATTCCTAAATAAAAAATAGAATAAAATAATCTTCCTGTGATTAGTAACAGTAGCTACATCGCGTTTCACATTTTCGTCTGACAAAGATTGTGCTAAAAACTTTTAAAATGTAATTTATTAATTATTTTTTATTATTAGTGAATGTATTGATGAAAACATCTTATAATTTCTCGATGTTTTTAATCATATAATCGGTCAATTGTTTTTTTGAATCATAATAAAATTTATGAATTTATTCATAATAATGTTTAACAAATTGTTTATTATTTAAATCTTCAAGACAATAATCAAATTGTTTAACTTAATCATTCAAAGTATTAAATAATCATTTAAATCTTCTTGATATAAACTTTGATGACAAAACATAAAATAAATCATAGAAAATACGTTTTAATGTTGTAATAGTACATTTAATTGATATCTGTAGAATTTTCAAGTACTTTTTTTAATTTTAGAAATAGTTATTTGAATGATGTGTGGAAATGTAAACAAAAGAAAAAAAGATTCTCTTTGACAAATAAATGATTCGTTTGAAAAAGATAACAAAAATTTTCTTATTCTTTTCAAACATAAAATTTCTTTGTTTTTTCATTTTTTCTATTATGAAAAAGATTTTATATTAGAAAAAGAACGGTTATTTTTGTTCATTAACTGTTCAATTTACTGAAATAGAATATTATTAAATGAATAGTTTAAAATTCTAATTATAATACCAGAGAGATATTTTTAATTATGAATCAATTATCAAATTCATATAAAATAATTCATCTATTTAAATTGGAAAAAGTCAAATATATCCTAAGAAAAATAAAAAGCATCTTAAAGAATCAATGTATTTTAAAGATTATAGAATTAGATTTAGTAATATTATTTAATAAATATTATATTTAGAATAAATTTTTATCAGTCAATGACATGTTAAGAGGATTGCCTATGCAATTATCAATTAATAGGGATCTAAAATTCAACTATATCCTTCAGAGTTTCGAATGGACTGAATTAAACATTTTCAAAAGTATAATCATGATATGGACTGGATCGATAAATTTTACGGTGGACATCTATATCCTATGAATTTCAGTCTATGAACCAGCTCTGCTCATGAGCGATTTTTTGAATAAAAATTGTTTTGTTTTTCTTGACTAATTATATATTTGAACATTGTACGAGAGACTCATTCTTTTCATTAAGTCAATATTTGCTTCTTTATTCTCTGAGATTGGCCGAAAATAGAAGGCAAGTATTAAAAAACACGCGAGTTGATCAATCAAATTTAATTTGTCAGACTTACGCATGTTAAAGAAGTCTTAATGATCCATACTTTATTCAGCTTTATGTTGCGTGTTTTCTTTTTTCTTCTTCTTTGATTCATACCTGTGTTGATGATAATAATTCTTACTAACTCGGTTTTTGAATAATAATAGTTCTTTTAAGAAAGCTGAAAAAAAAACTCTTTTATTCGATTATAACTATCGGTTTGCATAAATTATTCGTCTTTTCATTCTTCTTGTCAAAATTTGATTTGTTTAGATATAAAATCGTTCCCGTTTCCTGTTAATTTGCTTTACGTTTTTACATAAAAGTTGTTTTATCATACTTAGTTATATAAGTAGAAACGCGTCAAATCCAGTTCAACAAGCTGACAATCAGACGTTCTTATTTTCAGTCAAAGGGATGAACAGTTTTTTTCATATAAAGTGCAATTAACAAACACGTTATTCCAGGTTAAAAAGCAAAATTGAATTCTTTGGGAGTCACAGTCCATAAGAGAAAAACGTGCCTTTTAGTTTTTTCTGTATATGACAAAATCTGTTTATCAACTCCAACTCATCAGTACTAAATTTATTTACTAACTGTTTGAGTCAAGTCACGTGAATTTTTGAGTTGAAGGTGGTATCATTTCGTAATTACATTAAATAAAACATGATTGCAATAGTGAAGCAGAGAAAATGGCTTATTATTGTAACTAACTTTGTTCACCATTTACAAATAAAAATGTCTTTGAAAAATGTTTATTTCATCGTTCATTCATGGATTTTCATTTTTGTGCTTCGATTGGAGCGTGGAGGGAGTCATGCATGTTTTTCAAGACTTAATCATGATTTCTATCGATTAGAAATGCAATGATCCATATTTTAGTTTCTTATAAAAAGCTTAGAGAAAAGAATTCTCTATTTTTCTATGCTATTTGATTATACAACATCAACTAATGTCATAATAATAAAATTTCGATAAGATCTGTTTTCGTTAACATAAGTGTCGAATGTTTTAATACTCATTTAAAAACAAAACATGAGTGAATATTTTTTGAATAACTTTTCATAGAAACAAGATATAGAACTGTGATTTTCATCGTTTGAAAGAGGAAATGAAGATGTATCGAATCATATATTCCAGAGTTTCTTGATCTGTTTTTTGAGAAAAGATTTCAAATGACTTTGTTAAGAAAAAACCTATCTGGTAAGTTGTTTACAGAGAATTTTCAATAATCAAGTATAAATTCAAACTACTAAGCAAAGATCTATCAAGTGTAAAAGGCTAAGATTAATAATATGTATTCTAGTCGAGCGTCTAATACAATTTTCTAGCAAAATCTATGGAAAAACCTCACTTTTATGCTTTTTCCTTTTTTCACAAAAAAAAAAACATTTTTCCGACAGTTAAAAAATTGAATAAAAATACTTCGGAAATCAATGTTAGAAAAATCTATAATACATGATTCTATGCATCTTCATCTGCTTTTTCCAGCAATGAAAATCTCAGTTCTCTATCTTGTTTCTATAAAAAGTTATTCAAAAAATATTCATTTGTATTATTCAAAAATGACTATTAGTATAATCGGCACATATAGTAATGAAATAGATCTTATCAAAATTTTATTATTCTGATATCAGTTAAAATATGATCAAATAGCATAGAAAAATAGAGCATTTTTTTCTCTATCAGACTTACGCAGCGAGAATGTTTGTTTCGGGTTTTTGTAAGAGACTACAGTACTACTCTCACTACTTTTCAATTGTCCTAAGTAGAAAAACATCGTCGATTCCAATTTGTATTTAATAGATAATCCATGAGTTAATCTATAAAATTAGCTATACTTTTAAGAAAATAGGTACAAAACAGTTTCAAGTATGACACACATATAGGTCATTTAATTATTATTTTTCTTTTATTCTTCGGTCATTTGTCGTTTGTCTGTTGTTAAAATTGGTTTCACAATTTCGTTTCCTATGTCTTTTGTTGATGTTGTCTAGATCAAGATTGCCAATGGAGATTACTCAATCAGTAGGATTATCGAAATCCACCTACTGAATTTTAAGTTAAGTTATAAATGCCTCATGAGTTGAAAAGAATTTCGACATTTCTGACACAAACTTATATTGTTTTATTTTGATTGCAGATAATTGTTTTCGTTGTAAGCTTTTGTCTATTTTTCTAGATAAAAAAAATCTTATTTGTTTTACATGAAAATCCTATTAGTATGAATATGTCAAGTACTAACATATACAATGTGGAATTTCTCATCAAATGAAGCGATTCTGACACAATAAGGAAAACATATTGTAATAATGCATCAAGGACAATAGAATGGTACCCAAATCAATACTCAATCTTTAGAAAATATAAAGCAATGCCTTCATCGTTTCATCTCAGTAGTTAAAGAATACCAGTAACAGTTATTTATAATAGTAGAAATGGTCATTATCATTTTTCAGAAAATATTTTTTTATCTCTATGTACATAAGAATAAAATATGATAGA